ACCTTATTCATAGTCTCCACATCCGTCAGAAATGTGGGTGTGTGTTATCACATAACGATGCTTAGGGCTTTCCCATCTTAGAAAAACTGAACTGCATCGAATGTAGGGTATCCATCTTAGAGCACAGACTGGATGACATTCAGAAAGGTATGAGTAGACAAGCTAAATAGGAAGAACTAAAGTCCGCAGTATCCAAACAGAAGAAACTGCCAGAAGCCTTTGCTTGCCTGAAGTTTGCACGCAAAGGTTGCTTCTTGGAGTGTATTTGCAAAAAGTAAAAAAAGCAAATTATCAAAAAGAGTTAGGGGTCATGATTTGTAAAGTGGGGACTGGATTTGAAAAGGGAAAGAGAGTGACTGGGAGGAAGAGAAATTTTATACAACATGACTCACACCATTTGGCTCTGTTTCTTGTTTTGTGTTTTCTCTTTGAACACAAAGAAGAAGAAGCAGCAGTGCTGGTGTTATCAAAGATTTTAGGTGACTTGGAAGTCTCCAAGTAGAAAGGACATGAGTTGAATCAGAGACACAGGTTTATAACTTTTTGATGCATGTGTGAAAGCAGGCTGCAAAGTCAAGTGCTTTATTTACCGTGCCTCAATAAAGACCTAAATGCTGAGCTGGGGAAAAGCTCAGCAGGTAAAGGGTATTTCCTCTAGTCTGATGACCTGGGGTCAATCCCTGGAACATACAGAGTGGAAGAGAACAGACATCTGCAGCTTGTCATCTACCTTACACATGAAGTAGATCACATTGGCTCAGGCTGATGCTCAGAGTCAGCATTTTAACTTTGCATTCTTCTGGCATGTCTACACCAAACCTGGAGAGACTTCAGATCCACTAGGTTTCTAAAAATTGTTGAGGGTCTGTCCCTGAGACACCTTCACGCCTGATCATTTAGTGGCCAGGAGCTCAGCTTGTTAATAAATCATGAGGCATTGCTAAGTGGCTGCTCAGTGGCCTCATTCATGAATGTTCCCCTCAGTGCCAGATCAGGAACTCTACAAATTGGATTTTTAGTGCATGGAGATTTTTCTCCTGTCTATTGCAAAGGTGTCTTCTAAAGGTTCTTTTCATGAGCTGAACTTTAAATAAAAGAAAGCTCTTGGGTGCTAGTAAATTGCTGTCCCACACTAAGTGTGCTGTTTGTCCTGTTTGCTATACCTACTTTAAATACTATTACAAACTGAAGCACACCAAACTTCAAGCCTCTGCAAATACCTAAACGAGCCTGAGGATATAATTGTTAGGATAGAACTTGCCTGATGTGCCTCAGGCTCTGAGTATCATCGCAAGCAACACACACACACACACACACACACACACACACACACACACACACACACACACACACACACCCAGGATGTTGCAAGGATGAGTCAGCATGAACCATGCTTGCTACAGAAGCTTGAGGATCAGTGTTTGGATCACAGGGATTTACTTAAAAAGCTGAGTAAGTGTGGCATTCTGTCTGTAATCCCAGTGTTAAAGAGACTCAGAAAGGAACTCCTTAGAAAAGGCTGGCTAGCTAGTCTAGTTTAAGGATGAGCTCAGGGTTCAGTGAGACACCCTGCCTCAATATATGAGAGAGAGTGATCAATGAAGATGTTCTCAACACATGTACACACATGGGAATATAAAAAAATCTGAACATATATGTGAGTCCACGTTCATGTCAGTTATCATGCACACATTTTCATACATGCCATACACATACAAAATAAGAAAGCATTTGTTAAGTGATGCTCTCAGGCAGTATCCTTGAAGCCGGCACTCAGTATCCATGGGCATACATATTAGCGTTATTCGGAAATCAAATGAGTAGTTCAGACAGTTGTGTTAAAAAATCTCTCTTTTTATCCATTTCATTCCCTGAATCTATGACCTTATTCCTATAGTGAAATAAAAAATTCAGAATGAAAAATTAAGGTAAACTATTGCGTGTGTCCATGTGTGTGCTTGTATGCATGCACGTTTATGCTTCTGTGATGAGGTCAGAGGTCAATGATGCATATCTTCCTTAATTGCTCTACACCTTACTTTTTTTTGCATCAAGTTTTCTAACTAACCCTGGAACTCACCAACTTGGCAAGACTGGCTGGCCAGCAAGTCTAAGAGATCACCCATCTCTGAATTCCCAGAACTAGGGTTAGAAGTGTGTGCCACCATGCCCACTTTTCTTTTCTTTTTTAAAAGTATCTACACACTTGGCAATGGAATTTCAATCCTCACAGCAGCTGTGTAACAAACATTCCATTCACTATGCCATTTCTCATACCTAAAGCAATCTAGTTTACCACAGCATATTTTGACTCAAGTTCCAATATTAGCTAAAAAGGAGAATTTACATATTTTTTGTGAAATGTTTGTAAAACACCAGTTTGTCAGACATTCCTAGACTATTTCAGAGTTTAGACACTATTTGGAACACACAGGTACAGTTAGGTATAGCTGATGATTTTTTGCTTTTTATTTAGCAGTGTGTGAATTAAACAGTGGGATTTAGTATTATTCTTCCAGAGTAAGTCTGTCAAAGCTCTCATTTGAAGTGAGAAAAGAGAAAGAACTGTGAAATTAAAAAAAGAGTAATATAGGAGAAACAGACCCTAATTTTGCAATTGAGTATATGTAGATATAAAACTTAATTTTGATTGATGTTGCTAGTGGGGTCTGGACGTGTCAGGCTGTTGAGGACGGCAGAATAGTGGCAACAATCTTTCCCTTCCACACTTCAGCTCTAAGAACCATGGTTATTCCAGAGTTCTTTACAAAAAGCCTACAATTAGTCTAGTGTGTCAAGGCTTAGTTTTCCATGGAAGCAGAAGAGAGAGACGCCTGCCTTGAAAGAAATTAAAAACACTTAAACTCAAGTGAACCAACACCTCCAGCAAGGTTAAGAACCTTTTGCCAGCTGTTCCCAAACACAGAGAGATGCCTTGAAATGCATCCTGAGGCCCAGGGAGACAGACAGAAGGCAGCTTCTGAGCTGAAGAAAATGAAACTTGGATCTTTTCTTAAAGATGGAAACAAAATGACTCAAAACTGCAACTCCATCTGAAAACAACCAGTTCTGATTGAAAACCCCAGAGAAAATAAATAATCCCACATCTATTTTCCCCTCTAAAGTCAACATAAAATTTTAAAATGGTTCCCCGGGCAGAAGGACTGCTTATTTCTCACTGCGAACCGAACAGCCAACCAAGCACAAATCTGTAAAAATTGATGTGGACTTCAATATTGAGAAACAAAATGGAAGAGCCTCCAAAGAGTATTTTCAAAATGAAAACGCCATGCCCTGTGAGAATATTGCAACTGATATCATAAGTGGCCCTAGTAAAGATGATGACACTAATATTTAATATTCCGTTTAGTAACTAACCAGAATGCATAGTTTACCCCTAGTCTCAATTAGAGACCCAGTTGGTTAATACACAGCAAATATCAATGCAGATAAAACACATTCTTTTCAACAAGGTTGGGCTAATACCGAAAGATGGAGTCACTGAAGTAAGGGCTGCAGACAAGGAGATTATGTGAGGCAAAGAATGCATTAGCCATCATCTTCACAGTTATGTTCTTTCAGATAAAATGTGATTATTTTCTCCTAAACTATAAGCAGCATTTGATTACATGTTATTTTATCCAAAGCATGAATTTTTCCTTGTTTGATATCTAAATTATGTTTATGTATGCATCATGTTTATACATACGTACCTCTGTGTGCAGAGGCTTGAGTTTGACTTTTGGTATCTTTCTCTCTCACTCTTTAGCTCTGCAGGCAGTGTCTATTACCTTTCTTGTGAGTCTAGCTAGCCAGGGTTCTTTGGTGGACTCTAAAGATGCCATCACTTCTACTTTTTTGGCAGTTCCGGGATCTGAACATAAATCCATCCCTACCCTTTGATGGTATGCACTGTTACTACTGAGCCATCTTCCTAAGCCTCAAACTCTGGCTTCCAGAGATAGCTCCATGTAGCATAACCCTGGACCTCTGGTTCCTGCTTTCTTTTCCTTGGGGTCTCCCGGTAACCTTTTGCTGACGGGAGGGTCACAGTGGAGAATTCATCAGGGAAGAAAGCTCTGCTTTATACCTTAGAGCAGGTGTATTATTCCCAAACTGATAACTACCCACAGTGCCAGGATAAGTTTAACATTTGCCATCATTTCTATATTTGAATGATTTTAGAATCCCGATTGTTAGCTGTTCAACACAGTCAGACAAGAGTACAGATTCCCCTGGCCAAATTCCACATTAAGCAACCTTGGACAGTGACATATTTCAGTTATTTGGGTAAGTTATGCAAAGTGTCTGATATATATTTAAACAAATAAGTAGCATATATCCTCAACTAATATGATGGTGAGTGTTGATTGTCAGTTTGACAGGATCCAGAGTCAGGTGAAAGATGAGCCACTGAGCATGTCTGTCCTGCTCATTGATTGTACTAATTTAGATGGGAATATCTTTACACTGCATGTTGCTAGTATCCTGGACTGTATAATAGCAGAGAGGAGAATATGATCTGAGCACTAGCATAGCATGCATATTGATCCTTATGATTATGGATGCCATGTGACTTAGGCCCCTCAAGTTCCTGCTGCCATGACTCGTCTGCCACGATGGACAGTAACCTTGAACCATAAACCAAGATAAGCCCTTTCTCACTTATGTTGCTGTCGTGGGTGAAATTTTATACATCAGCACAAATGAAAGACAATAAAATTGCCAAAGTCATAGTCTTACTGACAATCATATTCTTTCAGCGTGCTTCCCTATTTTTATAGATGACATAACAGATTCTGTCCAAAACTATGGAAATTGCAACAAAGGGAGGAACATACTGAACTCTGTCCAGCTGACACTCTGATTTCCCTTTCTGAATGGGTACAGGACAGTGATTAAGCCTCCACAGTCTGGGTACAGCAAGATGCCAGAAACATTCACTGGTTAGCATTAGCAAATCTCATCTTTATTCACTGGAAGACAAAAGTAATTCCTACCCAGATGCTGTCTTCTTGCTTGTACTGTTGCCAGTTGTGCCCTGTGTCGCTGAACATCAGGCGATAGCTTGTCACCCAGTCTGAGCTCCCGTATCTTCCCTGCGTGGCCACTGCTGTAATCTCCACTCTGTTGCCCAGGTCCATCTGGAGCCACTGTTGGGCATTGGAATCTGCTGGGGACCAACCACCAGTTCCTGGAATAGGATGAAAGAGAGACTTGTAATAATGCCTTAGAAAGTCACCATTTGTACGTCCAAGATCAGTGAAACTATGTTCTGCTAAAGCACCATTGTTTTCTGCCTCTGGAATTGAACTCCTAGTACTTTCAGAATCAAATTTCTGTCCTGTAACATGAGGCTCCAAGTTCTTTGAAAGTGCAGTGTTTACAGTGTCTCCTTCCTCCTCCCCCTACTTCCTTCTTCCATTCCCCACTCTTCCACTTCTCTGTCTGAAGTTGTGCTATGAACCTGCCAGGTGACCTGTTTCTCGCTGTTGGTACAAAGGGGAAAAAAGACATCAATTGGCCATTTCATGGGCATGATTTATTCATTTAACATTTATTCTTTATGAGAATGCTCGGTAAAAGGGAAAGAAAAGTCTGATGAAAGTTTGCGTGGAACCTCCACAAGAGAAAGACAGAAGTTACAATAGTGATGGAGGGTACAGACTGTCTTAGAAAAGGTTCATAAAGGCCTTTCGAACACAGAGGCAGGAAAGGCGAAACCTGAGGCCAGGATGCCATGCCTAGGAAGGGTGGGAAGCAGATAGTTATGCAGTCACTTATGCACAGGGAACAGAGGAGGGAATGGTAAATACACAGTCTCAGTTAATGAGGAATCACTGTACATTTTATATGTAGCCTGCTGCACCAAGATGCACAAGGACTTTGCAACAACTGCTTTTCTCCCAGACTATTCATGAAATTCGAACATTGTCAATAATAAATGTTCATTCTCCTTCAATTGGAAGACTTGTGGTTGGAGTTTTTGTCTGCATCTCAAATAGGAAAACACAAATCATATGAACTTTTACTGACTACTGAATTCTCAAGTCCTCCGGAACCTGGGGTGAGGGGTATCACAGAGTCTTACAAGATGGGCAGGAGTGTGGTTAAAATCAGCCATTTCATTCAGAACAGGAGATGAGAGAGCTACCCAGTTTAGAGGAGTAAGTAATAGATTCATCTTTTCCTTCAACTTACATGCTTGGTCCCATGATGCTCTAGTTTATCTCTCACCAAGTGGAAGAACTCATATGTATTTCTGCAAGCATTTGGATGCTTGGGCACATGTGTGAAAGTTGGAAGCCAGTGTTAAGTGTCTTCTTATATTGCTCTTCATATTATTTTTTTAGTCACAGCCTAGAATCATCTAGGCTCTCAGTCAACTGAGAGGTTGCTTGGATAGGCCTATAGGGTGGTGTCTTGATTATCAATTGAGTTGGAGGGTCAGGTCCACTGTGTGCAACACCCTTCCCTAGACAGGTGATCCTGGGTTTGATAAGAAACCACAAACAGTAAGCCAGCAAGGTCTATGACTTCTGCCACCAGGTTCATACTTGAATGCCTGCCCTGACTTCCTTCAAAAATGGAAATGACTTTGAATTGGAAGCCAAATAAAACAGAGTAACTTTGATCAGAGTGTTTTATCACAGCAACAAAAAGCAAACGCAAACACTGGAGATCACCAGTTCAGCTACACTAGCCAAGTGAAAGACAAGTTTAGCTTTTCTTCCCCTTGTCAGTGCTGGGATCACAGACATGCAATTCCATGCCTGGCTCTTACATAGTGCTAATGAACCTAACACAAGTCTTCGTGCTTTTACAATAAGCACTCTATCAACTGAGCTATCCTGCTAGCTCTTGACTATTGCTTGATCCGCACAATAAATCTTATTAGGAACATGTTTCCCAGACCTGTGTCTCCCCATACATCACACAGAAGCCCTATGAACAACAAAAATTTTCCCATGAATGAATCAGGAGCTAGCAGAGAGTATGAGTTGCAGCCTCAGTTTTGACACATTTGGTAGTAGCCCTGTAAGCCAAGATTCAAAATTGTCCTATGAACAAATCCACCTAATGGCTGAAGCAGTAAGTAAAAACAGAGGGTTTGTTGCTGGTAAAGCACTTGTCTGGCAAACATGGACACCTGAATTCAATCCCCCGTACCCAAATTAAAATGCCAAGCACAGTGGTTCACTGCTGCACTCCTAGATCTGGGGAGGAGGAGACAGGAAGATCACTGAGGCTCATAGGCAAACCAACGTGGAAAGCTTTTCTGACCATTGAGAGAGGCTGTCTCCAATAATAAAAGGTGGGTGGAATCTGAAGAATAACACCTGAGCTTGTCCTTTGACACACACATAAACACAAATACATTACACACATCAGAAGTCCTTCTATGAATATGTAACACTGGACCATGTGTCTAAGAGTAATAAAATTATGCTCACATGTGACTAAGTAAGGAGATTATGCCACACTTTGAGAAGGGTATCCTCCTCTCTTTAGAGCACTCTCATCCATATGAACCAGGATCTAGGCTGACCTAAGGCTGGGACAATGTTGGATGAAGCATACACATGCTTCATGTATGACTGAGCAGGTAGAGTATGATAGGATACTGCAACTGACAGTCACCCGTAGCACACACTTCCAGTTTAAGGACTAAGAGAGCTTCAGAGGGAAACCGAGTGGGAACCTCACCAAATACCCAATGTGCTTTATAAAGAGACCCAAATCCTGTAGGATAGACTTCAAGAGATGGCCCATTTAGTGCTCTTCTGGAAGATTCAAGGTGGGTTCCTAACATCTACATTAGGCAGCTCACAATTGTCTGAAAATCTAGCTCCATGTCATCCCATGCCCCCTTCTGGCCTCTGCAGATAAGAGGCACACATGCACACAGACAGGACAAAGATATAAATATGTTACCGTGGTTTCTACCATTCTGGCTTTGCGACTCAATGGTAAAGCTGTTGGGGTTCCCCGAATTGAGGAGGGGTCCCCAAACTGAATTTGTCGCCCCAAGAATCAAGAGTCCACATGCCAATTGATGCAACATGCAAGAGGTTTTAATTAGGCATCTGCAGATAGGCCTCTCAGTCAGCTTTCGATTGATTGGCCCTGAGGTTCAGTTACAATCAGCTTTTAAAGACAAAACCCACAAGCCTTTGGGAGGGGTCCCTATCTTGTGACGGGGATACGTGACTACTGCCCAGGGGAAATAGATGTCTTCCTGACCTACACGTTGTAAATTCCTCAGACCTTGGTATGTGTTAATCATCTCTCCCTAAGTAAATGGTGGTTATCATCTCATCGTTTCCCACGAATCTTGTTTGCCCATCTCTGACGCCCTGGTCAGTTCGTCACAGGTGATCAGCAGCCCGGAATTTGGCCTTTTGTGGGTTTACAGCCCTTCTTCAATTAAGGTTGCTAAACCATACATCCCATTATGTGGTCTTTCAAAGTGAAGTGGTGAAGTGGGAAAGGCATGTAGACACAAGCAGGCTCCATGCGCCTGTGTGGATGCCACTGCTCACCTGTGTGTCTGTTTGTGAAATATTAGAATTTTGAAGGTGCTTGTGGCTCATGCAGCTTGACTACGGTGTCTTTCAACAAATAGCTGCTGTAAAGTTTGGCATTAGTGGCTAATCAGGCCACGCCCACACGCAGCAGCTGGGAGGAAAAGGCAAGTGCCATACATAGAGCCTGCCTATGAATCTGTAACCTTTAGAAGACTCTCCAGGTTTGAGGATTCTGGAGCTTAATAGGCATTCAAATTTAAGACTCACTTTCTTCAGGGGACTTACAGGGTTAAGCTGCTGGAATTTGGGACATCAGAGGGCTGATGATGTAAGGAGTACCTTTACTAGATGTCACCATCTTCAACACTTCTGTCTCATCCTGAGAGTTGCATGCTCATTCCCTACAATGCAGGATCCCTTACTTCCTGTTCCCTGGAATCAGAGACAGTTTGGCTGCAGGCTGTGCTCTGGAAATCATGTCAAGCATATAACAGACACACCCTCCTTCTTCTAAGCCTACGAGAAGGGACCATTGCTTTGCCATATGAAACAGAACTTTCTCAGAACACCACCACACTGCTGTCTGTCTACAGAATCAATACTTCTTCTAGGAAATGTACTACTCCAAAGGGCAATCTGCCTCAGTTTCTTCCATCCCAAACCAAGGTTTTTCATCTTTCGAAGAGTGGAGCCATTAAGACCATGGTATATTGGGAATGTCCACCTGCCTATTTCACAGGCTGCAAGTCACATGTGACATGAAGAAACAGCCAGGACTCAATTGAGGTTTGAAAAATTTCCAGTTTAGTTCTCATGTCTCATATTTGTCCCCTATGCAGACCCAGAATTGTCTTATACATACATAAACAGTCATTTGTAGAATTGTGTTGAATGATCATGCTTATAAAAGTTTGAAGAATGACTAATAGTTCAATATGATTATGATACTGAATACCCAATTGAGCTACACCTCAATGCTCTCTCTGTCTCTCTGTCTCTGTCTGTCTCTCTGTCAATCTCTCCATCTAGTGTGTGATGTGTGTGTGCATGAGTTTTACAGGTACACATATGCACACCTGTAAGGAGACCAATGGTCAACTGTGCCCATCATTTCTCAGGAGCTGTCACCTTGTTTTGGGACAGGGTCTCTCATTGATCACATGTTTATTTAGGCTGTGGAACCTGCAAGTCCAAGGGTTCCTCCTTTCTCCACCTTCCCAGTTCTGAGATTACCTATATGCTCTACTATACTCTGCTTTTTACATAGGCTCTGTGGGACAAACACAGGGTCTTAATCTTTCAAAGCAAACACTTTATTAAATGAAATATCTCCCAGCCACAATATTCAATTACTTTATTCGGTGACTGACTACTGTACTGTATGACATGATTATACATTTCCGAATTTGAAGAAGTTTCTATCAAAAACAGCTGCTCCCAGAGCTGGGGAGGTGGAGTCAGGAAAATTCTTAGGATTTCTGATTAGCCAAATTGTTAAGTTACAGTTCAGAGACCCTGTTTTAAAAAATAAGGAGAATGTCTCAGAGGAACAACACCCAAGGTTGTTTTGTGGCCTATGAATGCATATGCACACACTTGCTTGTGTATGCAAGCACATTATGCACACACACACACATACCAGCACACACACACACACACACACACA